CGTCCCCGTCGTCGTCGTCGTCGCCGTCGTCGTCGTCGTCGTGGTCGTCGTTGTCGTCGTTAACGTGACCACGCGCGTCGTCGTATGCCGCGCTCATCTCGTGTTGTGTTCCCGTGTCATTCGGTGCGTCGGAGCAGCAACCGCAGTGCCACCATCATCATCATCATCATCGATAACGAAAGTCGCAGCAGCAGCAGCGGCTGCAGCAACAGCAGCGACAGCTTTTCGCGTGTGCCACGGAGAGAGCGTGATAGAGGGAAAAGCGGAGCCGCGCGAGCGAGACAGAGGGAGCGAACGAGCGAGCGAGAGAGAGAGAGAGAGAAGGAAAGAGAGCGAGAGAGAGTGAGTGAGTGAGTGAGGAGGGAGACGGAACGGAGCGCCGGTGGGTTACCACACCCAACACCGCGCGAGCCGAGCCGGGGAGCCGATCGCCGAACGTCGTCGCTGCGCCGCTCTCTCGAGAGCTCTCTCTGGCCGCGTCGTGCGTCTAGTACTACGCGGGTGTACGCGCGCCGACCATCCAGGACAATCCAGGACTCCGGTCATCCGGGTCGTGTCACCGGGTGCTTCCGTCAAGCGCGCCGAGTGTTTCATCCGCGCGCCGGGATAAGAACAGCGACACGGATAATAACCAAAGAGAGAGAGAGAGAGAGAGAGAGGAAGTGCAAAGAGGGAGTGAAGAAGTGCGCGGAGAGAGAGAGAGAGAGAAAGAGAGACGGACGGAAGGAAGGAAGGAGCGAGTGAGAAAGGGACAGAGACGGACCTCGCCCTCTGCGAGGAAACATCCGTCGAGGTTACATCGACGTGGTGCCCGTCGGGAAAGGTGAAACGTGTGCGCTCCGGTGGGTGCATGTGTGTTACTTGCGTACGTGAGTAATAGAGAGAAGGAGAGGAGAGCGCGCAGAGAGAAGTATATATTACATAGAGAGAAATATATATATATATATATATACACACATAAACGTGCACACACACGCACGCACACACATACACACACATAGAGCACGGAAAGATTCGCGTAGTGCGCCTCGACGAACTCGCAGTTCGCACTCGGGGCGAAACGTGCGTGCGCGTGAGAGAAATACGAGGCCGTAACGGGTGAGAGGAAGACCGCGAGAAGGAAGGTGAGGGAAGAAGCAGAAGAAAAAGTAGAAGAAGAAGAAGACGAAGAAGACGAAGCGGACGGCAGAAGACGAAGAGCGGAGAAAGGAGCA